AGGTACAGGAGATGTACCAGGGCAAGAGTGCCCGAGGGAGCATGCGCCGAAACAGACAACCTTATTGGTCAAAGAAGTTACATGGTTTGAAGGGATAAAACCAGCGCCGAATTTTAAATAAATCCTCTTTGTTCCCCATCTCACGAGGAGCGTGTTTTTTCTTATTATATAAGGACATGTGCACCCTACATATGACGCACCCGAACTTGGGACTTTGAACTTATATTAAGTCAGTTTAGCATATCCTGAATCTGGCAAAAAACTCGCTAATTCCGGTATCGTCTCAATTATCTCGAGATGGGAATTTTCAGCGAAAAAAACACAGATGTCTTTAAGTTGTTGTCTCAGAGTGTCTGAGAAATGCAATCCTAGTTTAGTGAGCTCCAAAAATATTAGAGATAGTTCACAGGAAATAGAAGAAAGAAGAAAGAAGAAAAGAAAAAACCGACAGACCGAGGCAGTCGGAGAGGCAGAGCGAGGTCCAACATACACCGGTGAGTCACACTGAGAGGCAGCGCCAACATCTTACAATGTTGGCAAGGACTTTTTCCCTAAGCGGCCGTGTCCGCAGCTCGGAGACCCGGGCAGCAGAGCACCTTAAAAACGCCGGGGGAGCCCTGCTACCCGCCGCTTACCACGGCTCGGCCGTGTGCATAAAGCGGCTCCGCCGCTGCTACCTTCTAACATCCTCGGCGCCACCGCCAGACCCCGCGAAGCCCGCATCGGTTTTCTGCGTAGCAGAAACTGCTGCAGCTCACCGCCACGACCCCGCCGAGCCTCCCCCGGCGCCACGTTCAAAACCGCGCGGAACCTACTGAAGCCGAACAGAACGCGCGCCGTGCGACTCCCCGCTGCAGCGCCGGAACCCCCGCACCGCCCAGCTAACTGAGGGAACCCCGGAGCCGATTCCCGCCGCCACTGGAGAGCCCCACGCCGAGCCGCCCGCACCCGCTGCCCGCCGCCGCTGCAGCCCGCAGCCGCCACGCGCCCGCGCTCGCCAGTCGCTTGCTGCCAGCGCCTGCCGCAACCGGCCGTCGCACACACCGTGCGCCCACAGCCACCACAGCCTGCGCCCGCGCCGACGAGCCCTGCCACCGCCACCGAGAAACGGCGCCTCCGCCACCCACGCAGACCCAGTCGACAGAGAACCGGGAGAAGCCAGCAAACAGACAAACACTTTCCAGCAGCGCATGTCTACAGCGCCAAGACTTAGAGGTAAAATGGGAAATTTTTTCTCCACTGAGATATCACAGGACACAGATGCACTGGCTATCCTGCTAAAACCATATCACATATAAGCCACAAGGGCGGAACTAATAGAACTCATATGCTTTATTAAGGCAGCTGTACCTGAACTGCCATTAGTTGAAGCCCTTCACATAGAAATATGGGACAAAACAGGAAACCTCATAAAACTGAAAGTCCAGGGGGGAGACCCCCAAGGTAACAATGCCTTTCCAGCCTGGCAAGTCATAATGTCTGCACTAAGCAGAGCACACGAACGGACAACACATGCATCCAACGCCAACACACCCCCCCGCTCACACTGCTGGCAACAGCCCGGCTTTTAGGCGTGGGAGCTTAAACACACAAAGTCCAGCAGGAGGAGGGAGAGGAGCTGTTCGTGACTTAAGTTTCGGGTCAGGAACCGGGAGCCCAGGGGACGCAGGTCAGCGGGAGGGGACGGGGCCTGCGATGCGAGATCCCAGCCCATGGGACCAGCGCAGAGGGCCCCGTAACAGCGATGGGGGGGGTAACCCAGCATATTTGCCACCCTGCACCGCGGATGATCGCCGGCCACGTGCCCAGGGGTGGGTGCCACCATCTTGCCCGCCACATAGACCAGAAACTGACCCATCTCTCCCGGCCCCAGCGCTGCCCCATCCCACCCATAGGCACAAAGGGAGAGGTAACCCCCCCC